AATAACCTGCACCAAGCATAGGTGTATACCTATAAACTGTTAGTATGATGCCATCTATGTTTTGTAATGTAAACCATGAAACGTACGAGAAACATACGTGAAACGTATGTCTCTTCCTCCTCTAATAGTTTTCCGTACTCCTGATCAATTTTTTCGCATAAATCCGAATCTAAGAAAATCGCCCTAGCCGGAAATGCAGGACGAGTTTTCAATGTTGATTCGGTGATACGTAGCCTCCAGTTTCAAATTAAATTTAATAGGACTTTTTCGAACAAAAGATTTTAATAATTTTTTTAAATCTAATTTAATTGATGCGAGAAAAGTAATATAATCTCGAATATTTAATACATTTTTTGCGAAATAATTTACTACGATCCTATTATGCGAAGAACTTATCTCAACGAACCCTGCCTCCTGAACTACCTGCATTCGTATTTTTTTTGAATTTTTCGTGGTTTTCGTATTTTCTACGTGTATACACGCTTTCCCCTATTTTTAGTAGTATAATAATCTAAAATAATTTTAAAAATCAGAAAAAAAACCTAATACCACCCTTTCATAATATTAAAAAAAAATCTTACCTGTCTCATCGCATAGCCCCGCATCCTCAACATATTTCATCGTTTCCACACATATTTCGTCGCTAGCTTCATCATCAAGCCATTGCTCATTTTCGCGTACTGGGAGAATAGCTGATTCCGCATGACTTGACTACTGTTAGATGGACCAGCTGGAGTGTCTGGTACAAGTATTTGCAGAGCAAGCTCTATGTAATATCTATACGGAATTATTCGACTGAGGGTCATTGGTTCTGGTTGAATGACAGATACACTGTGGTGTGGAGGAACAACTACCTCATTATGTTGTACTGTAGGTATACGAGCAATACCTTAAGAAAAAAAATTAATAAAGAAACTAAATAAATTAACTTCAAAAAAAATTATAATAGGTATATCAAATGTTCTGTACATACCATGTTTGATCTTCATATGGCGCGCCAAGTTAGACTTGTAGGAAAATGCTAAAATGCAAGATGGACAAGAAAGGCGGACTGCATTATGCGTTTTCTCGTGTCTAACCAAATTATACTTTCGGCTGAATACCGCAGGACACTTACCACAGTTAAACATAATATTATATTCGTTAAAAGAAAAAAAGTGAGAAAAATATATCAAGAATATACTTGATAAAATAAAAATCTAAAGGTCGTAATCACGAAATATGTGTTCACCGGGCAAAAGACTGGATACACACCGACCGATCATCAGCGCTTGACGGATCAGGGTACCGAGCGGCCGTTGATGTCTGGAATTTTTGGAGGTGGTAAAATGTTAAGCCATGTATTACCAAAATATTATTTAGACTTTGGCTATCATAAAACTGTGATTCGAGTAATGTACTCAATTATTTTGATCAACATTTTCTTTAGAAAAAATAGTTGTTATGTTACTAAAGCTAACTACGTGTGTGGTCACCAACAATAGTGGTTTATTTTCAACCCTGCTATAACAATGACTCTATCCTACGATACGAATCGACATGCTTACAATAGATTTTCTTCCCATTGACTCTCTAGATATTTCTTCGTCGGTTACTCGAAAAAGCCATATAAAATTAGTTGCTAACATACCAAGAAATACAATCATCTGTTACTCCAAAATTACTACTAACATAGCCAGCTAACAAAATATTAATATAGTTTGGAAATATGAATTATAGAATGCGTGGTTTTAAAATAAAAATATATACATATATTTTGAAAATAATAAATAATTCAGTCATTACTCCCCCCCTTCATATAAATCCATTCACCGGTTCAGCTCTTCATCTTCTTCATATGCTTCCATATGACAGATCATCTCATCATTTCCGTCATATCTCCAATCCATTTCTGGTGATTGCCCTCCAGAATGCCGCGACGTGTTCAAAATTTCCCCGACAATTAACAAGTTATATTCCGGGTTTACCATGGGCTGAGAAACTAAGTCCGGGAAGAGATCGTTTCTCACCCTCAGTGCGTAGGCCCTCGGAGTTGTTGGCGGGAACATATCGGGCGAAGATTCCTCCAGAAAAACAGGTTGAACCGGTGACAAAGATCGTACCCTATTCTCCCTCTGTGATAGTCGAGATGGAGATGGACTTGCAGAGGGTAGAAAAGGAGAAAAAACTCTATGCCAGTCACGATTTTCCACCTGCGTGTTCTGGTCAGTGGAGTAACCACTATCTCCGGATTGAGTCTAAATAATAATAAACAATTTATTGTATATTTTATTTAAAAAAATAATAAACTTACCATCTCACCATACATGAAAATGTCATGCACGTTGGCTTCAATGACAACTGGAGACTGGTGATCTGTATTTTGACTACCTTCCATAGGTATTCCCTCCAGACGTCGATTAAACTCATCTCCTTCATACATCGGAGTACTCGGCGAAGAATTATTAGACATCTAAAAGTCGAATAAATCTTATCTTATATAATATATCTATTTAATATATCTTATGAATAATATAAAACAAAATACTCACATTTTTTCCGGTAATGATTATCACAAACGAAATATAAAAAAAAAATAATAATAATTAATACCTACTATGGTAAATAAAAATCTCGTATAAAAAAACTGTAAACGTGAAATGTGTGTACACCGGACTAAAGACTAGATACACACTGAGCGCTCATAGCCACATGAGGTAAGGTACCGACCGTCCCTCGATTTCAAACATTTTTATAGTGAAGGAGGGAGAGAAACATTTGATTTAAACATTTACTTTGATAGAATTATGGTTTTTTCAAATATTTTCAAATATTTTGAGAAACATTATGCTAGGTAAAAATAAATATTTTGTGAGTAAAGATAGTGAGCATATAGTTTTTCTGAAATAATATAAAGTGATGTATGGTAATAAAGAAAATATTATTTATTAGTAAATTAATTTTTAATAAATATTTACACCTGGGTTCTTATTCTGTGAAGAATGAAACGAGAAGTGTCGAAGTCGAAATCTAAGTAGGTAAGAATGGTTAGGACATTTAACGTCCAATCCATTTCTAATTTTTCCCTAATGCGTTCGGAATCAAAAATCGCAATTCTCCTGAGTCCATATAGTAACTGCATAATGATATAGTACTGGGTATGCCTCCTGATCGTTATAGATGAGCGCAATAACACACGAAACGATAGTTGAATCTATAATAAATTATCTGATATTAGTAAATCTAATCATATTATCTACAATATTTGAATATTCGTATGTTTAAATTTACTATAACCTCATCTTCAGGAATCGTTCGATCATAGTGACTTTCACGCATCAATATACACAAAACTCTCAATTCTACATTACACCGTAGAGAAACCGATCTCGCATGTGCTGACCATATCCTCTTCTTCTCACCTGAATTATTTATAAGTGAATATTCTTGATGCAACCGTCTTAAATAAATAATAGTGTCAGGGTTAGCTCCCCGAACGACTGGCGACTCAATTATCTCACTGAATAAAAAAATATATATATATAAATATATGGAAAAATAATGAAAAATTACTAACACTTACGCATTTTGTAAAATTCGTCTGTTAGGCGAGATGACGACTACACGACACATAATTATTTTATAAAATATAAAAATATAAAAAAATTTTAAATAAACAAAACTATTAAAAAGGACTAAATAACACAAATGTACGGTTCAACGTTAAAAACACGACTAGTCTAACATCTGGGTTTCTAAGATATTTCATGAATACAATACGCTCGATGAAACCTTAAAAGAAATGTCGACTTACCCAGAATTGTATGTTACATTTTTATAAATATGTAATTATTTAGACGTATCATTCCTGTATAAAATATACAAATGGGTAACATGTGTAGTCTCAACCCTTGTTGAAGAATGTTGTTGTTAACAATATTTAGGCTATGTCGGACCCACACAAGACGTTTCATTCCTGTATAAAATATACAAAGGGGTGAGATGTTCAGTCTCGACCCTTGTTGAAGAATGTTATTGTTAACAATAGATAGGGTAAGTCGGAACACGCACGTCGTTGCCTTTATATTCCTGAAGATTGTGATTGTATAAGTATATTATTCTTAAATGTGTTACAAATACAAACATGTAGCATAAGACCTTGATACATGAATGTATCAACCAGTTATTACATTGAGATGTGTACAATAATATTCATACAGCTATATACATTAAGAATCATATCAACAATATATCAGGTGTGTGGCCTAGTCTCTAGGCCCTAGTGGTTTAAAGCGTCAGTGGTATAGCTCGGGGGTCGAGAGATCGAATCTCACCAATTTATTTTTCAATATTTATTTAATGGAAAAAGATATTACAATAATATGCACGATAATATTGTATGTGTACAATAATATGGTATCATATGACTGTTAGATAAGAGACTGATAACTCTATGTTGTACGCATGCGCTATACGATGACGAGCAAAGATGAGCAAGGACGGGGTGGGATATCTTTAATCGTGTTTTAAATATTAAATGAATTTTTATAATTATATTATATTATAATTATTATATATTACAATTATTATTCCTGATTTTGGATTAAGTTTGTTAGTAAAAAGTATATTTATTTAATTAAACATTTTAACTGTTACCTATTAACTAATATTATGTCTCGAAATATATCTTTTGTTAAGCACGCAAATGCAAACCCACATAGTAAAATGACGATTTCAAAAAATACAGATTTTGTAACAAGAAACTGTATTGAGGAAGTAATTGTTAAAAACAATATCATTCCAGAGCCCAAAAAAAGTCTGTGTGCCGATCTCTTTTTGAAGATATAGGCAATAATGATGAAACAGTTGTAGATCATCAGTCTGAAGAAACGTCTGAAGGCTTCATAAGTGTGTGGAATGATACATCTATTAAACTTTTAATTGAGCTCAGAAGAGACAAAGATAAATATTTTGCATCAGCCAGGAACAAAAATAGATTGTGGGAAGACATCTCTTCAGAAATGAAAAAAAAAAATTATTGCTTTAATGCTAACGTCTGTAGCAATAAGTGGCGTGGATTGAAATTTCAATTTAACAAAGCACACGATAATGCATCAAAAAAAGTTACTGGTAAAGGCTGTCACACATGGAAGTATTATAATATATTGAATGAGTTCTTAGGATCTACATCAAATGTTTCTCCATCAAAAGGTAACTATTATTTCATATGTTAGCCCGTCAGTGGTCGCGATGTGAGCGCGGCTCTCACCTCGTTAGTATTTTGAGAGCCACTTATTTATTTATTACTTGATTTATCTGATACTCTTTATACCTTCAATCGACACATGTTTAAATATACTTTTGCAAATATAATAGTTTTATAAATAATTCTTGATTAGATATCAACATGCAATATTGTTAATATCCATAAATTGAGTGTTGCACTCACTCAATAGATCCACCTAATACTTTTTCGTAAACTCAGACCAATTTTTAAGGAGCACATAATATTCATGTGCGTACTGTATAACAATCAGCAAAATATTCCAGACCACTAGGGCCAAGTAGAATGATAATGATTATATTATGTATAAAAAAATATAAATTAATTTTTAGTGGTTAAAAATGTATAACTAAGAAAAATTGTAACAACATTTTTTGTAAAAGATTAAAATATAAATAATTTGTAGTTGGTTTCAATATTTTATGTTCATTATATAATAAATAATGATACAAAAACAATGAGGCTCACTCAATACCAATGGCGGGACTTTGCATAGCGATACCAACGACGGGTTAAATGTAGGAATGTACCTACTTATAGATATTTAATATTTTTAGAATGTTTGTCTTCTACATCATTTGGTTCACCAGTGTCAAATACTGCAACATGTTCCAAAAGAAAATTGCCTATTGGTTCACCAGGGTCAAGTACTAAAAAATGTCCCAAAATAAAATCGCCCAAGGTCTCAGAGAGTGGTCGTGGGAAACAAAAGATGTTAAGACTTATGGAGGAAAGGTTTGTAATTAAAAATTTTTATTTATTTGAATAGACCTTTTTTTTCATGTTTCCAATGTTGAATATTACATACATTTATTATGTAGATTTAATTTGTTCTGTTTTCATACTGACTATAGGTACTCTATTCAGAATAAGTTTGAACCGATTGCTCGACCAAAACACGTTTTTTAGGCGCATTCCCACCACAATCCGGTCATCGGTGAGAGCTTTAACACAGGTGCCTGACGATGACTGTCTGTCAATCACAGATCGCATTGGGGGGGGGGGGGTTTGACGGCTCAGTCTGCTTACGCAACGCGGTTCAAACTTATCCTGAATAGAGTTTAGTGACTTGTTAGATACAAACTAAACTAAACTGTGGACGAGTGTACGGATCCTCACTGTAGTGGCCCATATTTACATGGTATTTGTTAATCAAATTAAAACATTGTTTTTTAAATGAGAGAGAGAAAGTGCAGGGTTTTGTACAATGTTCATATTTTTAGTTGGCTTATAGTAGAGCATTAATCTACTCATTAGATGACATAGAAATCCATTTCATGGTACTGTGGTTAAATATGTGAAGTCTTATCTAGCATATTTTTGCATAATTGACATGTTCATGGATTTTTCTAATTTATTTGGTATATTTCAATGCATATATTGCCAGATTTTATAAATTAATTTTAATTTAATTTTCAGGGCAACCAGAGATGAAAAGAAAATACTTTTTCATGAAAACCTTATAAATAAACTAACCGAGGCAAATGAAATAGAAAAAAAAAAGGTTGAGTTGTTAGAGAAGCTTTTACTTAAAAATAATTATTAAACTATCAGGGCTGATATATAAATATATTTATGTATTTTCAAAGACTGAAAACTGCAATTTTATTACAATTATTTTTCATTTTAAGTCATTACACTCATTACTTTTGTTATGAATATTTTATTTTGTTTTTAATCTACTGTTATATTTATTTAAATTGTAATCATTTTATAGACTATTAAAATATCAGAGCTGATTTATGTATGTATTTTCAAAGACTGAAAACTGCAATTTTATTACAATTATTTTTAATTTTAAGTCATTACACTTATTTCTTTTGTTATGAATATTTTATTTTGTTTTTAATCTACTGTTATATTTATTTAAATTGTAATCATTTTATAAACTATTAAAATATCAAAGCTGATTTATGTATGTATTTTCAAAGACTGAAAACTGCAATTTTATTACAATTATTTTTAATTTTAAGTCATTACACTTATTACTTTTGTTATGAATATTTTATTTTGTTTTTAATCTACTGTTATATTTATTTAAATTGTAATCATTTTATAAACTATTAAAATATCAAAGCTGATTTATGTATGTATTTTCAAAGACTGAAAACTGCAATTTTATTACAATTATTTTTAATTTTAAGTCATTACACTTGTAGCGAGCTGTGACTATTTAGCCATATGGGTTAAACACATTTAATGCATACGTAATCATATAATATTTGCACCGCGTATATATAAATATTATACTCGAGCGCTTCTTCGAATAGTAATAATATAATATCAATAATAGTAATATCGAGCGCGTGACCATGAGCGGTGATAATCCTAAAATAATATAATTAGATTTGTGCTGTTATTAATTATTTATTAATTATTGTTGAATAACACCACAAATGTGCTATATAGATATATGTGGACTTCCGGCGCGTGCAAGCGTGTGAAAATCACAATAGGCTTAACCGCAAGACCATGTATGGTCTTAGAAAGTATGGAAGTGGCAAGGGACAGAGATCCATCGAGGAGAGCTGATGGACAAGCGTCCATCAGACGAACAACCAACCTCAACTTCGACAGTCGCACCACTAAATACTCATAGTCACAACTCGCTTTTAGTTTATTATTTGGACTTAGGATAAATTCCATATAACTGTTTTATATAATAAATACAATAAATACAATCAAAAGAGGTTATTGTTCAATTATTGCTTCCACATCAACAAGTAACGCTGTAGGGCACGTTACACACTTATTACTATTGTTATGAATATTTTATTTTGTTTTTAATCTACTATTATGTTTATTTAAATTGTAATCATTTTATAAACTATTAAAATATCAGAGCTGATTTATTTATGTATTTTCAAAGACTGAAAACTGCAATTTTATTACAATTATTTTTCATTTTAAGTCATTACACTTATTACTTTTGTTATGAATATTTTATTTTGTTTTTAATCTACTATTATATTTATTTAAATTGTAATCATTTTATACACTATTAAAATATCAGAGCTGATTTATGTATGTATTTTCAAAGACTGAAAACTGCAATTTTATTACAATTATTTTTAATTTTAAGTCATTACACTTATTACTTTTGTTATGAATATTTTATTTTGTTTTTAATCTACTGTTATATTTATTTAAATTGTAATCATTTTATAAACTATTAAACTTATTTAACCATGTGAGCTGATTTGTTTGTTTATATAAATAAATTGAATTTTAATGAGAGGAAGAGTCAATCAAAGCATGGTTCAACGTAATACTTATAAAAGACATACAATTATTTTGTATTAAAATTTATCATAAAAATAAAACAAGTGTTGATGTTTAAATTGAATTTTATTTATATATTTCTAGATAATTCATTACAAATTTCATCTCTTTTATTAGTTGCGTTTAGATTTATTTCAGAAATATTAAAATTGGATTCTTGATTTTGAGAAGTATAATCTGTACAGTCAATTTGATCATTTTGGTCCATACATATGTTGTGCAAACAGCATGCGGCTGAAATAAAAGCACCACAAAAATCTTTGTTGTAAACTTCAAGGTACCTACAAAATGTAAAAATTAATTAGAAACATGGGTATATAATAAAATAATTGAAATCATTTGTATAACCAAACATATTATATTATTATTAACATATTATCAAATAATCTCCATAAATAAATATTATCCGCCATATACATTACAGTGTTAAGTATATTTCATTTATACATTTTTTATTTTTACAAGTAAATTAGTTAAGTATTTGTTTTGTTTTTCTCCATAGACTACCATCTTTAGGAGTAAGCTTCATTAAGTGATTTTGCCAAACATATTTTGCCTTAAGTTTAGCAAGCATTTTTTTCAGGGAATTAGCCAAGTCATTGTAAATTAGTTTATGGGAAGGGAGCCAAGTGCGTTGGAAGAGAGCTATTGCTCTCCGTTTTTCAACTATTTCGTTATGTATTTACACAGGTAATGGATCTGATGAGGGAGGTGCTGGAATACTATTTGTAGCTGACCAGGTTGCAGTTTGTATAACATTGGTAAGATTGTGGATCTCTAAATCTATGTAGTCGGTTGCACTGGTTGCAGTACTCGAATTGGGGAGGTGGTGAGCAGGGGGACGGAGCTCCCCTACTATTTTAATTTTTTTTTTGCGTACCCCTACTATTATTTTTAATAATAGTAGGGTACGGTAAAAACTAATGTCCAAAATAATTTTTATTAAAATGTAGATTTCAATTGATGTAAATTATATAACGAGTTCTACTATTTTTCATATCAAATATTGAATAAAGAGGTATATTATCACAGAATAGTGTTATTCTGTGATATTAATATACATTTTTTTCTACTGTAACATTGTAAGGTATAGAGATTGCTATCAAAATATATTATACCTCTTTGAAATTCAAAATGTGTTGCTGAAAAGTGGTATTCAAAATGTATGTGAGGGAGGAAATGGGGGGGTGAAGCCCTCCACGGGTCTGTGTTGAATAATTGCGCCCTTGGAAGTTAGAACACAGTTTTTAAATCATTGCAGTTTTTTTTAGTGAGCAGTGAGACACATTTTGTGCAATGAGAAAAGTAATTGTGCAGTGTAAATTGTTACTCTGTGCAGTGCAAAAAAATAATTTCTGGGTGATATATTTTATTGTATATTATAAAACAATAATTGAGTTGACTTCAGAATAAAAAAAAAATGTTTCTATTAAAATTAAAAATTGTTTATATTATTCATTATTATACTGTTTATTTTTTAAATTTTTTTTTTTTGAAACAAAAGAAAATAACTACTTACCACCTTTGAGCACATGCTTGTGGTGGTGGTAGAGTGTTATATAAAATTATAACTAATATTAAAATTACAACAGTTAAATATATTTATTACTTATGATTTATTCAATTACCTATTGGAAATAACCAAATCTGAATTATTTTTTTCCATTGCTATAGTTATACGACTCCATTCTGTATAGAATATGTCCCTTTTTATATTTACTGACATTAAGTTGTAGTTTTTTGGATCTAGATAATCTATGAATTTTTGACCAAATGCTTTTCTAGAATACTAGCTCCGTTTTGACATCAAATGCCCTATTTTCTCTTTTAATTATATATACAATAGTTAGGTACCCACCTAGTCAATTGATTGTTTTTATTTTTATAAACAATTATTATTACAAATTACCTATTCCAAGTAAATATTACTTAGTAAGTATTATTACTTTTATTTATACATATATTTACACATACTTAAACCGCCTGAATCGTCCCAACAACTTTCCAAATGTTAATTCAATCACTACTCTAGATGAACTGAGGATTCGATTAAAATTATGCTTTTCAGGTGTTAGTGCACCATTGTCACGATATGGAACCATTACATTATTTGATAATGGATATGCAGAATCTGCTAAAATGTAACAATTTTCTGGAACTAAATTCTGCAGTGGACCATTTAGAGCAACACCTATGTTACTTTTTCTAAAAATCCTGGCATCATGTGATGCACCAGGCCAACCCGCAAAAATATTGGTAAATTTTTGATTGCTATCACATATTCCCTGTTAAGAATAAAATGTATAAGAATCAACTCAAGTGATAGTTTTCAACTTTTTTATTGTAATGACCAACCTGTAAAACTACAGAAGCTACATGTTTGCGGTTGATATAGCAACGTTGATCAACATGCCTCATTCGTGTACGTTTAATCCAGGGAACAGGAACTTTAATATGACATCCATCCAAGGCCATGAAAGCACCAGGGAAAGCCTTTGGTCTAAGGTATTTAAAATCTTGAAGAGTTTGATGTATAGCATTTCCCCGAGGCCATTTTATAAACTTATGTTTATGGACTTTCATAATGGAAATAAATTTTCTGACAATACCATGTGCATTGCTTTTTGACACATCAAATCGATCACCAAGTTGTCTACAGTTATAAAATCATACATAACAAATTCCAGTATATTACAAGGAAAAGCAAATTATAGTTGGGTTAGTTTTAAAAACTTACTTTTTATTACTAAGTACCTATATCTAATAATTATTTAAATACATATATCCATGTATAACACAATATACTACATTATTTTAACTTATTTGTTTATATTGGGTATGTGCCAATAGAGGATAACATTAAAGAATATACACATATTCCTTTAAAAAAATTATTCATCCAATGTTTAATGATAAATTGTTTTTCAAATTTGAAATTAAAATTGCCGGTTTCAATCCCTTGTACATTTGTTTGTTGCTAAGCACTTTAAAATAGTTATGGATAATTTATGCATACAGTAAATAATATGTGAAATATCCAAATTTTACTTTTAATTTATAGATCATTTTTAAATTTTTATGAATTATTTTTTTATTTTACCTGTATGTCTCTAAATTTGCCATGTACCATATACTTAATAAAATATTATTCTCAACTGTTTTACTTTTTTCACCAACCATATTTTCTTCACTTAAATTATATTCTATAATGATTTCTTTAAACAACACCTAGGTACCTATAAAAAAAAAATCATTAACTATCTATTTAGTTCTAAACATTTCTGCTTTAAATTATTAATTACTTCAAATGATGATCTATTTAATCGAAAATGACATTTAAAATCAGAATCATTTAAAATGGCAACTACATTTTGGGCATACTTTTTCACTTTTGCTATGACTATTTTTTCACCACAGAATATATTTTCATAGACATTGTCATCATCATCATTATCATCATCATCATCATCATCATCTAAATAGGAATTGAAAAAGAGTCAATCATTGAGTGAAAAGATGAAAAATAACTTACACGAGGATAGTAACAATAAATAACAACCAACAATTCTCACCTATATCAATGGCTACCAGAATTTCATTAAGAAAATGGTTTATAGCATTGGGTCTTAAAAGCTCAGAATAAATAAAAGTATTCATTATAAAAGGAATAATGTTTTATTAATAACAAAATAATTAATTAATAAATCAAAATTTTAATAAAAATAATAATTACAATATTAATTATTATATGTTACTATCACAAATAAAAATTGATTATATAATTTGAGTTAATATCACGATTAATTTTTTTTTTATGCCTTACACCACGACCTCGGTTAAACAAAATACCGCACTATACCAAGCGCTCGCGAATTTCTACGTTTTCAACGTTTCAAACGTTGGCGTTCGTTCTGCAAAACGTTTGCCGCTCCAGAATTTCCTCCAGGTTCACTATGCGGGCGCCAATATAGGTACACCGTGTTAAACAGAGGTAACCAGGATACACTAGGCGGTGCACCGTCTTGGTGTACACCTCGGTCGATTATACTGCCACTGCCACAATGTGCGAGTCGATCAGTACCGTCGCCGCGAGGTGATAATTCGGTTACCGACCGGTATCTGATCGCTATCCACTATAAGTGCGAGGCAATCGTGTATACCATTGTATACCGGGTACATAACTATATGGTGAACCAGGTTTTACATTGCGTGGTGCACCACCAGGTTAACATTGCGGGCGCCAAGGTACTCCGTGTTAAACAGAGGTACACCAGGATAATACACTACACGGTGCACCGTTGTGGTATGTATATCTTGGTAGCACGATTATACCGCCCCTGTGCGAGTCGCTTGGTACCGTCGCCGTTTGGTGATAATTCGGTGGGTAGACGGGTAGTCCATCTGAAACGTCGTATGAGTCAATAGACTCTCCTGACACGTGTTGATGCTTAGACGTCAGAGTAACCGTTCCCGCCGCGATGGTAGCTAAAGTCGCCTGGCCCGTGGCTGTTATACTAATTGTAGTCCGCTTCGTCTTAGGTCCAATGAAATTAGAAGATTCTCATTTCAAACCAATGACTTAAAAACATATTTGGCGAAGTAACAAAAGAAACCAGCCGTATGTACAGATGTGTGAGTACCTACACTATCTTAGTACCTTATATAATATGACCATTGTTGTGTAAACGTGTGCAAAAAGACTCGAGTCATACGTTTAATGGTAGGTACCTACAGCCGTGCCGAGTAAGCTGTAGGCACACGTACTTTACAAACATAATATAATCATTTAAATAAAATCAATTTATATTAATACATTATTTTTTGTAATCAACGTCTAATAATGATAATATATTTTCGAGTTTTTATATAAAAAAATTAAAAATTGAATAATTTGTAGACTTAAATTTTTCACCAAACTTGTATATTAGTTTTTTCAAGACAAAATACAATTTTAAATATAACTCTTGAGCTATTTATAAATATTTAAAAACTTGACTTATTTTAGTTTAAGATTCTGAGTGGAACGATGAATGTATTGCGAATGTATCTATTGGTTTAACAATAATGTGTCTTTTATTTTTGATGTGAAACATCTTATGGCGCGGTACAGTAGTGAGACCGACAGTGGCGTGGCGGCGCGTCGCCACTCCGTAGCCATGACAAAATAAACAGGTATGATATCAACTTTGCGATACGCAACTGTGTGTTCTCCCACCACAAAAATTCTCCATTCTCCGAAGGTCGGCGATTTCCTCTCTATGTGTGCAGTATCGGCTTATCTATTTTTATACGATTTATAAACGTATAATATGTACACCTATGTTGTTGCGTATAAATAAATTTATTGTATATTACGTTGATTATATTATTACGTCTATGTATATTGTATATTATGTTGGTTTGAACGGACCGTTGTAATAACGATATATATTTTCTAATGAAATATGAGTGACAGTAAAAGTGAATATATTACAAATATAATGGAACGAGACAGTGTACCGCCGCCAGAAAAAAAAGTTAAATTTCAAGTTCACCAAAATGCAGGTCGGAGTGAAATGTCTCCGTCATGTGCTTTTGATGTATATCCCGATTCATAATTTACTGATTCGAGCCAAAGGTTAGTTTGTTTATTTTAATAAGAATGATCTCTGTATAACTTCGTCTTTATATTACAAGATAGTGAAGAAGTAAAATACTAATTAGATTAATAGATATTAGTTATAAATTATGTTTATGACTTAATATGGTTAGTAAACGAAATGTGATAAGTGGTATTCGAATGGTGCTTATCGTGGTACTATAGATAGTAACTTAACTCAATGATCTAAAATCTAAATGGACGCTTGTTATTGTTGAAGCGGTTGTACTAAAAATTTGATTAGTATTAAATATAAATTATATTATTAAGGCCAGTTTAAAATGTTATAAATATAATTTGTGAAAAAATAGAATTCATTTTTAATGGAATTATATAAAAATATATTGTTAGAAAAATCTAACACGTCATGGGCAATCGCGTATAATAAAACGCGATGTGCATGTGCGTGTTGAAAAAATACTTTTTTTTAATAATTCTTAATGGATATATTAAATATATTAAAAATATTATATTATATATGATATAAATATATTATAATATATTATTTATATATACTGTTTTATATTATATTATATTATATTATATTATATTATATTATATTATGTATATATAATACGTATATTATAACAGTGCTCTTAGTAAAAAGGTCGGCAACAACGATACAGGGAACAGCACCGTGAAGAACTAAAACAACTTGAAGCAGAAAGAAGGAAAAGTAAGCAAAATGTACCTTTCCAACCTACGACAAGCTGTTCAGATTTTAATAGTACAGAACACGTACCGCATAACGAAAATTCCAGTGAAAAGTAACATTTTATAACTATCCTCATTGCTCTGATAATAAACTGATTTTTATTCAACTTTTCGTTTCAATTTTCACAATTTCAGTACAGACATGAAGAGTGCTCGCAAAAAAGAGCGTCAGCGAAAATATAGAGAACTACACAGAGAACAACTTAAACAACGTTTTATGTTTCACATCTGCCAGGCTATCGCGACGGCTCACTTTTTT